CCTGGATCTCCTTCAAGACCTCAAACCACTGCCGCTCGTGATATAGGTTGGTGACACCTTGAAGGGTCGCCCAACCAGCGAGGGCTTTGATAACCTGAGTGATTCCAAATCGCTCCTCAGGCAGCCCTTCGCTCTCCGCAGGCTCAGACCACTCTCTTCGAACAAGTCCGACGAAACTGGCGAGAGAAAAGCTCGCCTCGTCGCTTCCGGGATATATGGTCGAAAGAAGAGAAAGAGTGGAGTGTGCTGCAACTAGGGAGGTAGATGTGAGGGACTCGCCTATGAGAATCGGAGCGAGGGCGAACGACTCGATGGTCGATATGGCCGTAGAGACTGCCTCGCCGAGCATAGGGCCTGCTCCGATGCTCCCTCCAAAGAAGGCTTGGTCGACCGCTGACCCTGTTACTCCAGCAGCAGTGGAGGCTATCCCGCGAGTAATAGAAAACTACAGAGTGACATTGGATGAATGCGAACGCAGTGGAAGACGAGCACTTACGCCGAGTTTTGTGCCGGCTTTAGCAGCAGAGAAGCCTAATGAAGTTGCGGTGGAGGCTACCTCCAGGCCGAAACGACTGTATTTGTCCCACTTTGAGCTCATATTCTGCAATTTTGAGACGGCTGGCTGTCGTCGCGGAGGTGTGGCCGTCGAAGGCATGCGAGGCGACGAAGGTGGCGCGCCGCAATGTGGAGACGGGGCTGGGCCCGATCGGATCTGTGGGGCAACCTCGCGCTCCGTGGCCGCAGTCCGATTTGAATTGCTCCCTTTTTCGCGAGGTTTTTATGATCGATATGGTACTCTAGCAAGTCGAAACCGTCTTCAACTATGGGCTCCGATTTCGTGAAGGGGTCGACTGAGATTCACAAAAGCTGAGAACATCTATGAACCAGAACGGCGCCTCGCAAATTGGCGCGACACTTTCCAACGAATTTTCATCTGTCATCGATGAACCGGACAAACACCAATATCCGTTACGCGTGCCACCGTAAACCACATGCCATTATGTCGCTCAACGAACGATAATAAATGTGGAAAATACTGCCTCGGAAGACCCGATATCGATAAATCATAGGACGAAAATGAGCCTACACAGTATGCATCACAACTTCATTAGACCTTTCATAGCGTTCGCCACGGCAAAACTCGACTTCGCCATGACCTGCCGCGACTCCTTCGTGACCTCAGGCATGGCTTGGACCTCGCTCAGCTTATTCGCATGCTCTCCAAGCTCTCGGAGGATCTCCTCTCCCTGCTGGGCCGATGATGGCGGCAGATTGTCCTTGCAGACGGCGACGATGCTAGAGACAATGGTGATAATTTGCGTCAGGTTCTCGTTCAACGTTGGTGGCGGCGTGGGACTTCGGACACCCGACAGCACGCTTTGAATCGCGTACACGATCGCTTCTGTTTGCGCCTCTAGATACGGCTGAAATTACAACTAAGTCAAGACGCGGTACTGTGGTAGCGGTGTCTAATCATCGCCTACCTTCAATTCCGCCCACGCGTCCTCTGGGCTCTCAGCCACACCGGACTCGTCACTTGTCACGCCACCAGTGCTATGAGATGCGGGCTGATCAAATATGGGGGGCGGCGAACTTGTGTCAGAGCTAGACCTATTGGATGGCGGACCACGTCGCTCTTCATAAGAGGATCTGCCTGGTGGTGAGAAACGCGTCGATGACGCAGACTCTGGCATGCGGGCGGACGAGTATGATTCTCCTCGTTTCGAGCTTGAGGAGCTACCACCTCTTTGATGAAAAGATTTGACTTCATCCACAGATCGTAGCGATGGCGCGAAGCCACTAGTCACGGAAGCACTTGGGGGAGGGACGGAGAATTGCTCTTGCTCTGCACGCGTGGCTTTGCGAATGCAGATTGTCTTGCCAATCTCCGTCACTGTGAGTGATACGTGGCTAGCCGCGGCATCTAGTAGGCTGACGGGAGACATGCCAGAGCCCGTTGCATGCGTCTTCGATGCCGCTACAAGATTGCTGAGCGTGGCCTCGACACGTTCTCGCAAGGTGCGCAGCGTCTCCATGTCTACGTCGGAGCGATCCCGCCTTCGCCGCTGCTCAAACACCTTGATATCTTCCACTATCGCACTAACAGCGTTAACAACTGCTTTCATGGGCGTAAGGACCCGTGTTGGAGCATTCGAGCGACCAGCCGTGAGGAGGCTGTCGATCGCAGATACGAACGCGGTCACATGGATGTCTGCAAGACCACCATCTGGCGATACGGGTAGCTGATCATCTGTTCTTGGAGCTTGTAGGAACAGCTGCGACGTCGCTGAATCCAACGTCAGGCAAGAGCCCCAAACGCGTTTGATGTGCGCACTCACCCTTAACGCTTCGCAGCTCGGTCTTGGCTTGTTCATATTTGCGCTTGTAATCCTTGAGCTGGGCGTCAAGGTCTCTAATGACGATCAAGTCAGCATCTTTAGCAGTCATTAACTCGTCGTTCCTCCGTGATAGATCGGATAGCTCAACCAAGAGCCCTTCCGTGTCAGATCGAAGTTGGTCCAAAATTTCGGAGTTGCCCTAGAATGATTTGCTTCGTGCTTAATGAACTTTGGGATAAGAACACTAAAGCACGTACCTGGCCCTCGCGCTCTGCTTCCAAACGTTCACACCGATCTCGCAAAATCTGTAGCTCCTCCTCATCTTCTCTCGCTCTCTTCATCTCGACCTCCTTCTCCCTTGCCCGCTCCTGCCGCGCGTTATCCAATTCCTGCTGCAAAGTGAACATGGCTGTGCTCTTCTCCTCCAGCCGCTACGCAGAATTATCAGGCGATGTTCACATCAGGTCAGAGACAAGCCTACGTACTTGTCGCAACTCTCGCATCTCCTCTTCTACCGCTCGCACACGCTCCTCACCTTCTGTCCACTTCTGCTCTCGTTGGTTTACATCTTCGAGGTCCCGCTCGAGCGTCGTGATGCGCGACTGCATCGTGGCGATCCGATATTCATACTCCCTCCGTATCCTCTCATGCTCCTCACTTGCTACACTTGCCCGTCCGCCCATAATCCTTCCACCGCCCACACCGCCTGCCGAACGATCTGACGTGACCGAGGTACGGCCAAGCGACATCTTGTCAAAGTAGTCATCACCGCTCTTCCCCGCGCCATCTTCGTCACCCTCGACCGCCTGCAGCCGCGCACTCAGCCCGCTCAGCCCACCGTTTGGTCGCCGTTCATCGTCACTGTCGCTATCCCTCCCACGCTCGATGCTGCGTTCTCGTTCACGTGTCCGGTCATCCATCGCCGTGCTCGCACTGTCGCGGACTTCACGGCCATATGGCACCTCGATCTCCTCCTCTGCGATCGTGCTCTTGTTAGGGATGATCATCCCCATCCCCGCGCTCTGTGCATTCGACGCCGCGGTGGACTCGCTCGTCGTGCTCTTCGCCTCACTTGGGCGCCGCCCCATTCCGCTGCCGCCATACTCGCGCTCGCGGTCTTCGGATCGCCGCAGACTCGTGTCTTGCGATGGTCGTCGCCGGTCATCTGCGCGGTAGACATCCTGCGACGGCCGGCGGCGCGGACTCGAGGAGAAGCTCTCCGCAGCAACCCCGTACGTGTCTGCACTGCGCCGTCCACCTGCAGAATCGTCCTCGCCCAGCCGGCGGCGCCCATAGCTATCTTCACTAGGGCGGCGGACGGAGGATGGACTGGGAGCGTAGCCGCTGTCGATCGCCCGGTCTTCGGAAGCACGACCGTTGCGTATGGGTATCGAGGGCGTGGGGCCCTTGCTGGAGCGCGCGGAAGCGGGGAAGTCAGGAGAAGGATAGTCGTCGTAGGTAGATCCGGGCGACATCTTAGTGGCGCCGTCCAGGGACTATAATGAAAACAAGAGAGTAAGTGATTAGGATACGTTGGGAACGAGAGAATGGATCTCAGATGCCATAGACGTCCGAGACACGAGCCACTGTTGTGCTGATCGTGGAATACACTCACGTCCTCCTTGAATTCAGGATACCGTCTGGCAAGCTCGTAGTAGACATCACTAGAGAGATCTTTGAATCTGCCGGTAGGAAGGGTGGCGAGCTTTTGACGGGCCTGATTGCGCTTGGGATGAAAGTCGTCTCGGACAGGGAGAAAGGGAACTGGGCGAGCTGAGCGAAAGGTATGCAAGCAGGGAAAGTGGAGACATACTGTCGTTGCTGTCAGCGTTCTTCTTTCGGCGAACGAGTTCGTCGTAGACATCGGTAGATAACTCCTGAAATTGCTGACGAGTGAGGCGAGTGAGTTTCTGCCTTGCGGTAGTGCGAGAGTTTGCGGGTTCTATAAGATGTAAGATCTGGAAAATGGATGAGTAACGGGAGCAACATACCTTTGGCGAGGTAATCGGCAAGATAATCACTGAGCTCGTCGAAATGGGTACGAGCGATAGCATAGGGATCTGTAGGGGTGAAGGGGCTGGGGAGTGCGTCTCGGATGGGGCGGTAGGACTCTGTGCGGTAGTTTGAGATGCCCGAGTAAGTTGTGTTTGTGGGCGACGGGACACGAGAGGATCCAGAGCGCTTCATGTCGACGGCGTGGAGGAAGAAGAGGGGATTTGTCGCAGAGGCCGGAGGGGAAACATGCAGAGAGCACGAGGATGAGGAGCCGTGATTGACCTCGGATCCGTGGCTCATGGAAACCCACCCAACATGCGTTCCCACGGTTACTATTAAATGGTTCGCTCTCACCACTTCCGCTCCCACAAAATGGGCCTCCCGCCAGCTGAATTAGAGCGCGATATGTCCGTATTATCAACGACCATTGCATCTAATGCCGGGATAGAAGGCGCGAAAGGCCTGTCTAATGTGTTGCTGTAGGTAGGCGTATGCCCAGTCAACGTCTTGCCCTAAGATCAGATCCATGTCCAAGGCTGTGGAAGATCATGATCTTACCCAAGCATATGACAATTATTGGCATGTCATTTTTTGTGGGTATATGAGTCTTGGATATAGATGGCTTTGTACCGTAGAGACGTGCACAGTACATAACTTATCATCCTCATCCTCATCCTCACATGGTGCAGCCTGCTGAGCACGGCTTCTGACTAAGCATTGGCCTTCGGAGGTCATCACACGATCTCCTGCGAGAAAACTACCTTGATTATCCCGGTGAGTTTCTAGTGCAGCTGTTGCGTTGATATTTCGGTATACGAGACTGTCTCCTTGTGTGTTCTCATAAAGATACATGGGTGTTCGAACCACGCACCCCCAATTACGTTCCCCGTTCTATTTGCATGAGCTGGTGTTTTCTCTGAATGACGAGAGGTCCAACGAGAATAATCACATGAATTAATGAGCGGACGACAGTATCATCTTGATAACCGCCAACGTGCGAGTGAAATCGATGTTCGGTACAACAGTGACTTTGATGACATAAGTTACAATGTAGCAGATTTGTCCATCCCGAAGAGAATTACAGAGCACTCTCAAACAGTAACTTTCGAGGCTTCCCTATGTGCGGTGCCGGGGTAACCAAAGCAGGCCTGCGACAATAAATCAGAGATTAAGAATTGAAAATGAGCAACAAGGTGCTTACATTGATGTACCCGTCATGACCGCAGGATTACCCATAATGATACTCTCCGAAACGCCAGCGATACTGTCTGTTTTTCCATACGCAGCTGCATCGAAGAGGTGATCCGTGGTCTTCTCGAATGAGGCCAGCATCAAGACACTATCCTTCATTTTTGCAACGCCAAATCGTGTGATACCCAGCACTTCACCCTAGTCCAACGAGGACCACCGATGATTGGGACTATTCATGCCGACATAGGAAATTAACGCACCTTATATGACATAACATCACCAAGCAACATAACGTGCCGCGGATCAATACTCATACCGTGACTTGACATGGTGTACTGGATCTCGTTGATGATGGTACGACGTGCTGCTTCAATACCTAGCACCTGAGCGACCTCGATAATATGATTTGACGTAGTCTGTTCTCCAATAATACCTGTAATCCAAGGTCAGTATTGAGCGGCGGCCGTTCAGGGTAATAACGGCACCTTGCGTCACCATAACCTTTTGAAGACCATAGCCTTCCACGAGCAGCTCTTTGTCTCCCTTTTTTCCTCGATGATCATCGTCTTCTTTGATATTGATGATGGCTCGACGGATGGTGGGTACTCCCTTCGTGCACAAGATCAGTAAGGTAGCTTGATTAGACGAATGTATCGCACCTTGACCACAACATCAGGTAGAGCTCGTTTAAGCTCCCGCAAACGATAGTACTTGTCTTGCCCATCCACGTAGACACGAAGACGATTTTTGCGAGGGATGATGGTGATGGCCTAGGTCAGAAATAATAGGTCAGAAAACTGAGCACGGTTACTCGACAGTCTTGAGCGTACTCACCTCTTGCTTAATCTTCAGCTTTTTGGCGGCTACAATACCCCACTTGATGTCATCTAGAGTCATTTCCAACTGATGATGATGAGTCGCTCCGTGCGGTCAAAGCGATTGAAGGAACATACTTGAAGATCTTGGATGGTCTTCATATCTACAATAATCCCGATGTAGGTATACTCTGGTGCCCACGCTTCCTCTAACACGCTTGCGACCTATAAAATCAGCAGGCCATTAAAACTTTATGCAAACTTGCCATTATTCAAGTAGATTGTACTTACATCGCCCAGATGTGTTTTCTCCAATCGTCCTTTGACGATACGAGCAGATGCTTCATTATCAGCGGTAACCAATTTACAACTGATGATAGGCGTGCTAATCGACTTGGCAGCATTGATAATTTCCTTTATCCGCGGCACGCCGAGAGTAACATTCATGGACGCAACACCAGCAAAGTGGAACGTCTTCAGCGTCATCTGTGTTCCTGGTTCACCGATAGATTGAGCACCCACAGCACCCACGGTAGATCCTAGCAGAACCAGATGAGGCAGCGCCGTGCGGATAATTTGACTCAACTCACCTGGTTCGATCTTCGCTTTCACATATTTTGTCCAGCAGATCTCCAAGAAACGTAGGAGCTGAACCTCCGTGACCTTAAGCTTGTTGTCTACCACAGCTTTATTGGCAGCTGAACAAAAATATCAGAATCTATAGAGCAAATGACAGAAATGTTAGCTTTACCAGAAGCACCCAACGAAAGATCAGTGTCAGCATCCCATTCACCGTCCCGTTCTAAGGCCTCGAACATGCCATGACTCTTCCGAATCTCAGCCAATCGTTGGGCAACGTGTTCGGAAACGAAACCGCGGATTGTTGCAAGATAGGCTGCCGTGCACTCGCTCGTGAATTTTCGTCGCAATAGTTCACGATCAACTATCTCCATGATCTCGAACGGGAGAAGACCGCGAGCACGTCGTGATTCGATTGACTTGTCACCCACTGCATCAGCGACCGCAGTAGCACTGCATGATAGACTGCACATACCGAGGCATGACTCCAGGCTCGCAGGTACTCCACAGGTTGGGCATCTCCTTCAAGACATGCAGGATCCAGACCGTCATCGCCATACCGGAATTGCACCACACCGCCCACAGCATTTCGCACCGAAGAGTCGTAATGTGTGACCAGGTCCTCCAGGGCCTTCATTAAACGCCGCTGCATGTAACCTGTCTCAGCAGTCTTGACAGCTGTATCGACCAAACCTTCACGCCCAGAAATGGCATGGAAGAGGAATTCGGTAGGTGATAATCCGGTGTAGAAACTGTTTCTTACAAAACCCTTGGATGGAGGTTCCCTCGATTTCTTCGGGAAATGAGGAAGTGAACGATCCTGAAAACCATCCGGCACACGATGGCCTGCGATAATCTGCTGACCTACGCAGGCAACCATCTGGGCGACATTAATGACGGAACCTGGATGCGGATGAAGCAATCACGTCAGCGAATGGAGATGTAAACAACACACCTTTAGAACCGCATGTAGCCATGATAAGGGGTGCGTTATGGCGGCTCAGCTCCTTCAAACAGATCTCTCCCACCTTGTCCCGAACTTTGGATAGGACACCAGAAATCATGGCTTCCAAGGTTTGCTCCTGGTCACAGCCGGGCTTGTTCTCCAGTAGGCCCTTCTTCGCACGCATGATGAGGTCCTGACATTCAGCATAAGCTGTCTCCACCAACTTGTCTTTCTCATTCGCGAGTTTGGGCCCAGGAATGACGTCGTTGATACCAAGCGAGAAGCCGTAATTAGCTGTAAGTCATTTATATCAGCATTTGAGGCTTCAATATCAACAATGATTCGTACCTAGATAGCGGGCGCATAATTTGGCTAGTCTGTTCATTGCTGCAGCCGCCTCATGTGGACCATAATCTCTCATGATGATACCAAATACCGACTTCTTCTTACCACTACCAACGGTGGCCTTGTCCATAACACCGCACATGATCTCGCTGTTGACGATCACAAGCCAACCGTCGTTCGGGGACAAGTCGGGCGCTGCATTCATGCGTGGATAACACTTGGGATCAGGCTTCTCCTGCTTGTTGCACTTAGACTCGACGTTGACCATGACGTTCGAGCTCTTGTTCGGGCGCATCAAGACATTAAAGATTTGTTTTCCTGTCCAGAGGCGTACAGGCTTCCATATTGTCGGCGGAGGGATATCAATTTGCATGTTCGCGTCGCCAAAGTACGAACATATTTGTGTAAATTGCCTGCGATCAAAAAACGTGTCCCTGCGAGAGAGGAGGAACGAAGCGGTGATGAAGTCTTGGATAGCAGCAATGACGGGCTCTCCGTTGCGCGGCGTGACGAGATTGTGCTTTACACTCATGAGCTCAAGCGCTTCCGTACGTGCCTCTTCCGTCTGTGGTACGTCTGCGAGACATTTGTGAGCTGTCAAGCATCTTCGACCCAAGGTTGGAATGAAAAAAGCTTCTCACGAAGATTCATTTCATCGCCGTCGAAGTCAGCGTTGTACGGACCACACACACACTCATTCAGACGAAATGATCGCCAAGGTCGTACTTTGACCTAAGAAAGTGTCAGCGGAAATGAGGTTGAAGGGATAGTGAACAGGCGCACTCGATGGCACATGATTGACAGCTGCACATAGAATGAGACAAACAAGATAAACCTCAAGTAGAGAGCGACTCACTTTGTGTAAACTTGGCTGTCGATTGAAAAGTACGACATCACCATCTATGATATGTCTCTCTACAACGTCACCGATCCTCAGCCCATCAGCAATAGCATTCCGGTTCCCAAACTTCAAGTACTTCTTAAAGCCGTTGCTACCTGCCGTGACGTAATTGGCTCCGGGATGGACATCACAACCGTTGCGAACAGCCTTCTTCAGCATATCAATATTGTGCGCAGTGACTCGTTCTGGATACGTAAGGATCTTCGAAACACGCTCGGGTACAGCGACTTCGTCAATGCGCAAATTGGGATCCGGAGAAATGACTGTACGACCCGAGAAATCGACACGCTTTCCAGAGAGATTGCCACGGAAGCGACCCTGCTTTCCTTTCAGCCGTTGACAGAAGCCACGAATAGGTTTTTGGCCCATCTGGGAAGGCACTCCTGGCAGTTCTGAGTTGATGTACATAGCCACAGAAAGCTGGAGGAAATCCCATTGTTCCTGTCAATAAGTTTTCAGATACGCTGTAGCAAGGACAGTGTGAGTGACTAGTCTGACCATGAACTGTGCGGTTGGGGCACCTTTCGCAAGACCCTGCTTGATGAGCGCATTCGTGAATACAATTTCCGTGAGCTTTACAGTTAGGTCGTCCTCGTTGGATGCACCATCTTGTGCAACAGACGGCCGGATACAGACAGGCGGTACCGAGATATACTGCCAAACGTACTCTTCCGGACGTCCGTGTGCAGGTCGAAGACCTAGTAGCTCGCAGTCCTACTGTGCAGTGAATAACACATACCATTTTCCCACTGTGGGTAGCCTCATACCTCATCCGATATCCGCTTGAACAGGTTGAGCACTTTCAATGGATTAAGATCTTCGTGGACCGCTTTGTTGAGGTACATCCCTAGCTCCTTCTGTGCCTCTACAGCCGATGTAAATGTGGTCTTCCACTTTTCCATCTCGTCTGCAGTCTTCTTGGCGCGGAACTTGTCATGGATTATTTTGAGAGCCCCAGCCTTCTTGACAGTTCCATTTGTTGAAGAACAATATGGACAATAGACAGCCTTCCGTGCGAGCGTATTGACAGCCTTAGATAGCGCTTGGCGTTGGATGTTCTCAAGATTTGGGCGACGAAAACGCTTGAGATATGTCCGACGATCTGGTTCCTCAAGTAAAACACGTGCGCATGTCTTGCATATACATTGAAGGATTGCGATTGTATGTTTGAAGTATCCGATGTGGAACACAGGAACGGTGAGCCTTATGTATGCATAATGTCCCACGCAATCCACGGATGACAACCCACATGTCTCACAGAACGCACTTTTCTCTGTCGTTCCCTAACATACTGTTCAGAGGAATTCGGCGTAAATACCATAGTGTTCTCACCAGGCGGCGGTCCAGGACACCATTCTTCACAGGATGCCGATCAACAGGAGTGTATAGGTCGCGATGGGTGACCTCGAACTCGGAAAGTTTGACTGCCTCCTGATTGTTCAGCAGACTGAACTGCAGCTTTTTACTGGGGACAATGGTGAGATCGCCAACCAAACAGTGCCGGAGCGAACATACATAATTTTCGGAGCCTGGTGAGACACAGACTCTTTCATCTTGGATCTCCTTCCAAATATCGAGCGACTGCAATGGGGTCAGGCGAATAGAAAGAGGTCTTCTCTCTACAGCGTAGTAGCTAATAAGAGTCGCTGCGACGCCAGTCTGAGACGATTGTTTGCGAGGCGTATTTTTGAGTCGAAGGAGGGACGACCAAAATAGGAAAGTATGATGGATCTGACGACGCGTCGCGTAAACGCCCGTGCTTGACTTGCGCGTCCTCGCTCAGGCTCTGCCCTCACTCCTCAGCATTCTCCTTGTCGTCAACGATGTCCAGGACTTCCTACGACCGGTGCGCTCATATTGGAACTGGAGTTGGCTTAGCCTCATTGCTCTGTGTGCGAATGCTAGATATCTCACTGTGTTTTCTCCGGAGGGGCGACTCTACCAAGTAGGCAAGTGATCGCAAGGCTTGAGCCAAACGGCGACTGACGTTACGGGCACAATGTTCAGAATATGCCTTTAAAGCGATCTCCGGCTCGGGACATACGGCTGTGGCCGTCAGAGGAAAGGATACTGCCGTTGTAATCACCCAAAAGAAAGTACCTGTGCGTGATCCCTGTGCTTGTCTATGGCCAATATTTACGAGCAGGTCATCCGCATCTCATTATATAGGACAAGTTGCTTGATTCTTCGACAATTACGCATCTATTCTACATAACCCCGACTATCGGCTGTGTCATGACTGGTCTCATCGGTACGCAAGAGCGGTCATTTACGATGGTGCATTGACGATATCTCATTTTGTTGTGCACAGCTGATGCCCGTGCGCAAGTTTCCCGTGCACACAGAGAAGCGGCAGATTTCCGTTACAAGTTCGGTTACGAGATCACACCTGACGCGCTTTCACGGCGGTTAGCTAACATCAACCAAGTGTACACACAACGGGCTGCTATGCGACCTCTGGGTATCTGTATGTCTCCACAACGTCTTCTGTGATCAATATTATAACCAAAGTTCAGCAATGATCATCATTGGTCTCGATCCCGAGGCTGGTCCTCAATGCTTCAAGCTCGATCCTGCCGGCTACTTCGTCGGCTTCCACGCCACTGCAGCTGGACAAAAGCAGCAGGAAGCAATGAATCATCTCGAGAAGAAGTGGAAAAAGCTTGACTCAGGCCGCGGTGCAGAAGATGCGGTGAAGGCAGGTCAAACACTTAGCAGAGCAGAGGTCATAGAGGCAAGTACTATGCTTTAGCCATACCAGATAGACTCACACGTAGCTATAGATGGCGATCGAGGCACTCTCGACTGTACACGCAACAGACTTCAAGGCCGGCGAAGTCGAAATTGGTATTGTGTCCTCAGCTGAGGAAGAGAGCCCAAAGACACGAGGGCAATGGCGCGCTATGGACGAGGCCGAGATCGAGCAGCATTTGTTGGCATATGCAGAGAAGGATTGATGTACAGATTACCGGACTCCTTGATATTCATTGCACACGAAACAAATGTCCGCAGCATAATGTTAGATAAGGGCAAAGGAAATGGTCAATGATCTATATGGTGTTCATGATGTTCTGTTCAGTCGCACCCGCGATCTAATGCCGCGAGGCTCCGCCAGTCTGAAGAGCCGCATCAGTCACCCAAAACATAGACGCGAAATTAAGTGGCTCACTTCGACAAGTTCAATCTCCCACTCCTCCAAGTCATGCTTCCAAAATCGTTCTGGTGCTTGCCAGAATTCAGAGAATACCTGCGCTCCTTCCCTAGATTTACTCGAGCTCGCTGTGGATGTGCTTGACGCTGAGGAGCCTGATGCCTTGTACTTTTTCACGAACTCGGCGAATGACTGCTTTAGCTCGGGAGGCGCAAACGCATGTGCATGGGGAGCCTCGGGTGCTACAGTCATTGCGTCAGTACGTCCCACCTCGCCCTGAGCAAACATGCAAAGCGCACTAGCAGGCCACTGTCGTTTTCCGAGGAAGTGTATGAGCGGCTGGCGCACTGAGCCTGCAGAGCAGAGCCGGAGCGAGGGGTGCATTGTAAGGTGTATGCAGTACGGGCTTATGAGTCCCAAGTCGAGTCCCAAATTCGAGACGAGTCGGACAACCAGCCGCCGGATGCGGTCGCACCTTGTCATGTGATGTTTTGGGTACTGAGCCGAAGACCTCCGACGAGCTACAGCTAATAGCTGGCATCTCCGTTGCGAAATTGAGCGTTAGTTCCAGTGAATTACACGTAGTAAGTACATAGCGACAGGTCGAATGTTAAATATGTATCGTTGACCTAATTATCGGGTACGCATCGAATAGACTTTTTATCTGTTACTTGCTACTAGTACGACTCTTGCATAGTACCCCACTGCTCATCCATGAACTTCGCAAGTGCGGCTCGGACATTGTGAAACTCAAACGGGTTTAGCTTCATGTCAGTCTTCAAAAAGGCATTACGCTCTGCCTCTGGCCACTTCATCATCATCTTGAAATGGTCTACGCTCGTCAAGCCGACCTGAGAGAACGCTGGCGCAAAGGTTTCCAGGTCTGCTGAAAGTCCGCGCAAGGCGGCAGCAAAGGAGTCGTTCACATCGCGTTCAACATCAGACCTTGTGTTCCAGTTACCATCGACGGCCGGCCTGGAGAGGCACTGGGGGATGCTGGTAATCATAATTCTTGATGTCTTCCCCAGGGTCTGCGTATTCTCTGCGGAAAGAAAGCGAAATACTAACGTGAGCTACCTTTCCCGATCGGAAGGATGACACTTCGTTCAGCAGTGTACTCACTATGTGGCTCACCATTGTAAGTATTGTGAGACGCAATACCTGCCGAGTTCAGCAACTGGGTCTCCAATCTACATTTCTGGGCCTTCGAACTGAGATACAGCTTTAGATACACCACTATTGGCCATTGACGTTGATAGCGGCTCTCAATGAAAGGACATTCACCCACGGCCTGCATTCATATCAGCAGTCATTAGACATCTAATTGAGGGTAACATACGCGTTCCACGACCTTTTTCCATTTCATTGGATCTTGTCGTGACAACGTCAATTTTTCATTTAGGAATCGGGCTGAAAGAACCCGTAGTGTAGCCTGTGAGGCAAAATGTCTGATGTTATAGATTACTCGCTAAAGTTATCGGCGATCACTCAAGATTTGCCTTGAATAAGCTGAAACGGATTGGATCGTTTCGGAGCCGCATCGTCGACTGCAGTTCTGCGACGGTGGAAGGGCAAGGCGTAGGCCGCGGGATGATAGCAGGCATGTAGAAGGTGTTGAGTGCGGTGATGCGATTGTTCAACACGGCGGGGGCAGGTATTTATCTATTCCAGAGTGAGATGTGAACTTATGCCGTTCTTGAACATCTTGGGAAGGTTGCAAGTTCAGACAAAGACAAATTCGAATTCGAAAGCGACACGACTCTTACACGCGACCACGATTCTCCATGCTTTACGCGCCTGCAGCTTTTGTGCTCAGCCGGCTTACTCTGGGTCTCAAGGTTCGAGAGACCGAAGGTGAAAGACTCCGGGCCCCTTCCAAGGGGCCTTCCCTGTGATTCGGGTTTCGTTCTGACTCTCTCCAACGACCCCTATCATCGTGCTGGACACAGCTCGGATCGGTCTGTTTTATTCGTCGTGACTGCAGGGGTCGCTCCGAGGGGTATAAACAAGGCTGGATGACTTGCTCCTTTCCCAAAGGATCATATATCCGGCTATGTTGGCTCGAGTGGCAATATGCCTTGCTGAACGTGTGTGGCAGAAGTGGGTGGTTCTCGACTATCAGGAGTCATCCACAGGAACCTAGCGTTTCCCTGACGGACTCGCCTAAGATTGGCGTGCTCTGTGCTGCTGCGACTGAAGGTCGTGGAAATGGTCGTTGACATTGCGCATACATCAAGAATCAGAAGGAGTCACCGTACGTATATGCCGCCATAGGATCATGTTCGTTCAATGTTCGCGTTAATTGCCGATTCATGTCACTGCAGTCCTTCAGCTTATCAGCCGGATGTGAAGCGGCCCTCCACAGGTATCTACAGTCTCGGACCATTTTGATTATTGATCTCATATTCGAGCAGATGATGCGGAATGACTCCGTCGCAATTTCACAGAAGCGGAAGCTCCATTAGAGTGCTTAGGATGAGTCAGGTGTCTGGCTTAAGCGTTGGTACCAGATCCTTGCTCTATATGTCTGCCTCAACTCAACAAGCATATGGTTGCATTTCGGCCCTACAATACAAGAAAACATCAACAAGCAAAATCTCCACAGCCCTTAGAATATGAGTAAGAACACCGGACGAATTGCATCATCGCTGTACACGATCGTCTCGTTCAGCACACCATTCATCCTGTCAAAGACAACCTGTTGTGTGGATTCATGGTAAGCGTCTGACGGCCGAATGCAACACACAACGTACCGAATTGTACCCCGCGGGAAGAGACGTGACCTCGGTAAACCGCGACACATTATATACACGTCCGAGGACGACCTTTGTCAAGAGTACGACACCACCAGCATTTCCGTAGCTATATGCCCTGTACGTCGTCCATCTATCAGACCAACTCGCGCCAGACACAGAAAACGCGACATACTTGTTCGACGCGGACGATGTATACAGGCCAGCCCCGAAGCTGGGAAATAACACACCATCTCGTCAGCAAACGGTCGTGATCCGCCAAGAGGAACCAAACACACGCTCCGGTCGGCTTTGCAAAGGTGAGCTTGAACGACGTCTTGATAATGTCACACACGGCGCATTGCGGCGAGTTGCACAGTGTTGTATGACCTGTGTCTCCTACTTGGCACTGGCGCGTCGTACCATGGTACCGAAACACTTGGTTTCCAATTTTCTTGCTGTTGAAAAGAGTACGACACGCAGGATAGAAAAATGAACATATGGATAGGTGTTGAGAGTCACGACGCACCGATAAGTGTCGTACGGCTTTAGGACAGCGACACCCTCAACGATCTTGTATACGTGTTTGATTGTCGGAAGGGTGCCCTGCTTCCATGAGTTCTTGAATTTTGCTTCAACTATACGGAAGTCACAAGATTGTAAGCCATGAAAACTACTACGAACACTAGCCGATGGCGACTCAGGGCCGAACACAGGATAAGACCCACCCGCTACTCTAGTAATGTGCCCCTCGGGGACCTCGATGATCTTCGGCGTCGTCATCATCGCGATCTTCTTGCACGTCCGGCCGCAGAAATGGTACTTCCCGAGCTTGGGGCGGCAGCGGCACATTAGGCATGCGACGCGCGATAAGTCGCGGCATGATCGACCACAGGTATTGTACGGGCTGAGCTTTGGACGACGGTGACAATACTAGCATACGGAGTCAGACCTAATAATGTCAACATGGCTGAAAGATTGCCCACGTTGCACATTGTGTTGTCCCCTCCCCCGCCACAAAGGGCGATAAGACACGTCATCCCGCAGGTGAGGTATGTGACAGAGCCGCGACGGAAACAGGGACGGCGTTTACAGATCTACTTAGGATTATGGGTGATATAATCAATTTTTGTGTCTTAAATACTCACGACACAGGTTTGGGTGCCCCCGCCAGCCGTCTGGCTGACGCCGCTGCCACTCATAGCAAGTTTGTATTTTGCAGCGCAGGTGAGGCCACATGTAGGGTAGCTCTTCCCGTTGCTTTTACATGCGGGGCGCATGCCGCAGATCTGCAACCAATTTAAGCATCGACCTTTACCGGCCTCGCGCCCAGACGTATATACAAACACGCACCACACACAGACGCGTAAAATTGCCCGTCTTGTAAATCCCCGCACAGGTCATACCGCAGGTGGGATAGCTCTTGCCACCCTGGTTATATGCGGGGCATTTGCCGCATACCTTTGCACAAATGAGACCACCAAGCAACTAATGCATCAACCAATGGACATACTACGCAGAGTATCGTGATGGCGGTCGGTGTAGCAGGCTTGGCAAATGCGCGACGCAAAGCGATTGGCGCAGTGGCGGCCTTCATCGTGAGGTTCGCATTTGCCTCCTGAACCTCGGTGCTTGTAGCGGCCTGCACAGAGAAACTATCATCGCCCAAGTTGGACATGTCGTCGTCGGTGCTCCCGTCGTCATCGGAAGCCATGCTGTCAAAGTCACTGTCAAGCTCATCGTCGCTGTTCGGGTCGGGCCAGTGGTCTTCGTCGTCGGCCAGCGGCTTGTCATCGCTAGACGGAAGGCTGGTGGAGATCTTGGGGCCAGAGCTGTCTGTAGAGGTCGTCTGCATTGTTGTCTCGTTGAGCGAAGGACTCTGGGGAGCTACAGTGGCTTTGAGTCGTTAGCGAGAACTTATAGCTTGACACGGTTGGATGGTGTCCAGCATTAAAATCGAGGGTCTTAGAGCTGGCATCGATAAGGATGACCTAGACTTCCATATTGTACTTGAAGAAGGAGCACGGGATGCGAATCATAGTCAGTTTGAGGAAGCTGCATACACATTTGAACAAAACTTGGCCATGAAGAGAAAGTAAACCACCAGGTGGCGAGTGAATGAAGTTGTCGCAGGGGCGACCACCACAAGATGGTACGTACAAGAAGCAGTCATCACTGGCAGGTGAACAAGTTATTAGCCATGAGGAGATGGAGTACATACACGGAAGCTGCTCACAAATTCCAGATATCGTTAACAGGAGTAAGTACTACCCAAAAGCACACGTTCTCGGGTTCCAGTCGTCTCGGCGGCGACTGACTTGCATAATTCACCTGCCTATGGAACGCAAGAACTCGAAGATGATGCCCGGCACCCGAACAGTGTCCAGTCCATTGTATGAATGCTCCGGACGAGTGGGAGTGTTGAAAGCAACGATTCTACACATGTACGTATGCGAACCTGAGTATCATATTCCCACTCTCAACGACGGGCGAATGACATGGAGAAGCCGGTGGTCATAGCTAGAATATCCGTACATGTTGAAGCAGAGTATAGACGTCTTGAGTTTGAAGACTAGTGAGCAATATTACTGGCGCCTTTTACAGACGAGAGGCAGCTCGAGTGGCAGAATGGGCATGGCCGTCGGAGGTTTAATAGCTCTAGCTTCAAATGGCTGTTCCTGTGGCTGGCCTGGTGGGATTCAGTTTTTCCACTGGTGACATTATCATCATATTTTACTTTGCGCACTACTACGGCAATACGGCCATCAGCTTACCCTGAAAAAATTAGCTGTTCCATGCAGGTAGGTCATCTCGTACGGTGCATATCGCACATTTATCAAGGTCTGGATACTTTGGACAGGCGCCGCAGCAAATCCGTGCGTTCTCAACATAACGGTATATGTCACAAACAATTAAAGCCAACCCGTCGCTCAAAACACAATTAAAAACACTGGTCGGATCGCATCGTCGCTGTAAACAATCGTCTCGTTCAACGTCCCGTTCATTCTGTCGAAGACGACCTGTTTGAAGACTCAGATAATCAACATCTCGCAGATTGGACGCCTCAGACAACGTACGGAGTTGTACCCCGCGGGAAGGGACATAACCTCGTTGAAGCGCGAGGCGCTGTATATGCGTCCGAGGATGACCTTCGTCAGGAGCACGACGCCGTTTGAGTAGCTCATTGACCTGCAGCACAGATCCCGCATCAATGCCGTCCACGCCCAAGACAACGAATACGTACTTATTCGACGCGGACGACGAGTATACACCAGCTCCGAAGCTGCCGAAAAGTACAACCCCGCCTCGTTAGTACGTTGGGGGCGTGGGTGGAAGGACAAGACACACGCGCCACTCGGCTTTGCCAGGCTCACTTTGAACGAGGTCTTCAGGATATTGCATACTGCGCAGTTTGTCTGGCTGCACAACATCGTCTGTCCCGTATCGCCCAGTTTGCATTGACGCGACGTGCCATGGTAACGGAACTTCTCGTTGCCGATCCGTTTCCTGCCGCAAGGCCGCAACGTCACTCAGACTCGTCAGTGGCGGCGAGCAAGTGGCGGCGCGAGACGTACCGGTAGGCATCGTAGGGCTGGAGGAACCCTGCGCTCTCGATAATTTTGTATACATGCTTGATCGCCGGGCGCGTGCCCTGCTTCCAGGCCTTGTTGAATTTCGTCTCCACTGCGTGCCAAAGTCAGCTTGACCAACCACGCGAACAGCATGTCCAGTCGAAAGCAGACGGGGAGCCGGACGCACCCATTTTCCAGGTGACGTGTTCTTTCGGGATCTCCACAATCTTTGGCGTCGTCTTCATCGCAAGCTTCTTACATGTCCGCCCGCAGAAGTGATACTTGCCCAGCTTCGGGCGGCAGCGACAATGAAGACACGCAATGCGCGATTGGTCGCGGCACTTCCGTCCGCACTGGTTGTGCGGGCTGAGCTTTGGGCGGCGGTGGCAATACTAGCAGGCGAGATCAGGCTCCATGTTCCAGGAGGACTGCGTTGCGGGCTCACATTGCACTTTGTGTTATCTCCACCCCCGTTGCAGAGGGTTGTGAGGCATGTCATGCCGCACGTAAGGTAGTCGACGGAGCCACGGCGGAAGCATGGGCGTTTTTTGCAAATCTGCGCGATCTTGTTAGCTCCACTTCAGGATTATTTTTTGATACCCACGACGCAGAGTTTACTAGACCCTCCACCGCCTGTCTGGCGACCGCCGCCGTTACCTGTCGTGATCCTGTATTTCGCAGCGCAGGTTAGGCCACATGTGGGGTATCTCTTTCCATTGCGACTAAATGCAGGTTTTACCCCACAGATCTGGCTTTTGTCATTAACACCCCCTGAGGAGGGAACGCACGCAGTGTGAATACGCACCACACAAAGAGCTGTGAAATTTCCCGTCTTGTATTTTCCTCCGCAGGTCATACCGCAGGTGGGGTAACTCTTTCCACCTTGGGTGTACGCAGGGCGCTTTCCGCATACCTTTATATGGATGAAGCCGTCAATAAATGGTATCCTATCTGGATAATGAATAGACCGACCACGCAGAGGGTCTTGGTGGTGCTTGAAGTAGTTCCTACTCCGCGGGAGGAAGTTCCTCCGCTGGAGGTACCGCTTCCAGCACTACCCATTGCCTTATACTTGGCATCACAAGTGAAACCACAAGTCGGATAGTTCTTCCCATTGCGGCTGTAGGTGGGACGAACCCCGCAGACCTGCGCAGGGAATCAGACATGTTGTTCTCTTGTCACGCGTGGTAATTGCCATACCGGACACATCGACGGTCCTCCGGCACGGTTCTGTTGCGCAGCAGATGCTCTATTGCCTGTGGGTGCGGGGGCAACATTCATTCGTGCAAAGCTGCCGCTAAGCGTGTCGACGTCCGAGCCGGCAGCGGAGAACGAGGCGTCGGCATTTCCTAGGCCGGTCATGTCGTCGGTCCCATCATCGTCAGAGGCCATGCTGTCAAAATCGCTGTCGAGGTCATCGTCGCTATACGCATTGGCCCACTGGTCATCATCATCGTTCGATTGGTCGTCCTCGGAGGGAGGGTAAGAATTGTCAGAGTAGGTCGGTGCCATTATGTTTTGTCAAGGTAAGTGGTGTTCGCGAGATGCAGTGTTTTGTTTACGGAGTTGCCGGACAATGACAGTGTCGATTTATAGACGGTATCGAGCGTCAGTTCGTCGACCTGAGGGTCCAACGTGCCATGAGAATGGCTGTATGTGCATTTCATAACAATACCGGTACTCATCTGAGTCTACCGGAGAACGCACGCAGGCTTGAAGTGACAGAAAGATAGCACAGCCGGAAATGAAAGGAAGCTATCAGTGTGGTCCAAGGCAGGGCGGCGCCAAGACGCGGGGAATTTTAAATCCATCAGGTGAGTGAGGGCTGTAAACAATGAAGACCACGCACGGCCATTGAATCTGTCTATAACAGGGTTCTTGTCCCGACAAAGCAATGTCCAAGAGGCACGATATCGCGATGGCAGTCACCAGGTCGAGAACATATTGATCTCCTTCAGGAACACAAGATAATCACCACGTTTGTAGCTTCCATTCAGCCCTCAGCGAGCTGATAGCAGGCGCGGATCTTTGTGGCCGCTGCCTGCAGTTAGAAGCAAGTTGAATTCGCTGCGCGCAAACCTTGCGAAAGCAGCCGATCAATGTGCTCTCAACTTGGAAAAATATTTGCTGCGATGAAATGTCAGTGATCTGATACCTCAGCCCATCGACTGGCTGTCGTCTCCCAACGCAAAGTCTAGTAGGCATTCTGCGCTGTGCAAAACAACTCTAGAGACCGCTCAACACATGCCACCTGGACGCTGAACGCTAAACATTAGGAATCCACTCACCACTAACAGCATCCGCCGGGCCGACCAGCACTCTGCACTGGCATATCGCTCAATCTAGCAGTCTACAAATACAACGCCGCAGTGATGAGCCGTGCCTATCCACGCTTCCGGCTCCCTACAGCACGAGTCGACGTT